TCAGAAACATATAAAGTGTAAATATTTACATATATTTATGTATATAATATATATGCATAAAATTATATAGGTTAACTAAACAAGCATGTTGAATTGTTTGTTGAACACCCGAAAGCAATACAATTCAACATACGTGTGTGAGTGTATGTGTAGGGAGGGGGAGCGATATTCCTATATTCTAAATATTAAGCACTTTATTTTTTAGAAAAAATGCTCACACCATAAAAAATTTACAAAACAAAAATGTGACAGCCTGTAATACTCATGAGTTCTTAAATAACTATATGCTGCCATTAAAAATGATAGCAGTGTTAGGATCCCTAATGTTCATTACTTTCTCACCACTTCATTGTTTCCAGAAGCTTTGATCCATCTAAGAAAACGGAAGGAAGGCGTTTGAAGAGCCCAACACACCCGGGAGGAGAGGAAGAGAAGACGACGGCTCCCACCAGCTACCCCAAGCCCTCAGAGGAGCTGGAACTCTTAACCCAAACGTCAGAGGATCTGGTACGGAAAGAGAAGGAGTAACAACCTCAAATCCAGCTGTGGAACAGAAAATCATTTCTTTGTTTGAATGTTGTTTTTTTTTTTTTAACAAAAATATTCCCAAGAGCTTTTTGGTTGATGCCCGAGACTAATGAGATGTACTATTGATCTCTTCTAATTCCGGATATGGAATTCCAGGTTAAAAAATCAATAGAAATAGAAGCCAATATGTCCTCGTTTATTTGGAAAGGTCACGTGTGTATTGACATTCCCCTGCTGTTGGTGCCTGGAGCGGAGGGCAGCCTTTCAGCCTGCAAGGCTGTGAGCCTGCATGTCTGGGGCATTCATCTGTGGGTGGGGGAGGTGGCACAATTATCTGCAATGGAAGTATTCATGGCTTTGAACACAGCCATTGAGGGCAAGAAGAACAAAGCGTGAGAGGAAGTCTCCCTGCATTTCCTAACGTCTCCAGCGGGGCCAGGGGGCCCACAGCGCCCCATCCCCCACCCTGCTCTTTCACTCCATACTGACTATAACCAGGAAAGCCATGACAGCTCTTCAGAAAAATCTGGAAAGTTAGATTTAATGCAGTTAAATGGCTGAAAATAAGATCTTTAAAGACTGACCAAACTCGGCAAATATCTGGGGTCAACTAGAACACTAAAATGTCTTTCTCATGTTATTTCAAATGGAATCCAAGGTCAAAAAGCACAACAATGAACTCCTTCTTCCATTCAAGACACTTCTCAGATTCTGCAGCTATTGTTTCAATTTATCACTGCAGCCCTGAAACACAGCCCTGCTTTGTGAACCTCTGAAAAGGAAGGAAACTGCTGACCCTCGGAATGCAATGCGTCCACTTAGACCAGGACACAAAATAGTCTTAAAGAAACCTGGCTTTTCAGAAATGACATATCTACCTAACAATAGTGCGCACGCAGAGGAAAAATATATAAAAAATACATTGCAGACTAAAAGTGGAAAGGGCTAGAAGAAAACCATGGAGGGAAGGCAGTAAGGATGTTAAGAGGGTGGAAATTTTAGATAAGGTGGCTCCTGAAGATCCAAGATGACATTTTCCTAAGGATCTAAGCGAGAAGGGGAATGTCTATCAGTTAATTCTGAATACAACACAAAAACTCCTCTTTGCAGAGCAACCAGAAGAAAAGACAGGGAACGATGTGTTTGTAAGAGCAGTGGGAGGTGTGCTCTGGTTTAGGAACCCAGGGGCTCACCTCACCGCTGAGATGGGGAGAACATCAACGTCTGATGGGAAGGAAGCTGGAGAGACAAGCGACTCTCAGGAACCAAGCACAGGCCTCGGAGCATCCCTGCAGAGCACAGGATGCCTCTGCCTCCGCCATGTCCGAGATCACTCACCGTACAGTTAACGGGGGGAAATGATCCTAGCTTCCAGAAGTCTGGGAACACAGATCAAGCTTTGCAGTGTTCTCGGCTGAGGAGAGTGGAATCGACAGTTACAAACTTACCAGAGGAAGTGAACAGAAGACGACACCTGGGAGGACACAGGGAGCCTGGCCACACCGAGACCACCAGGCCCTCCCCCATCTCCCACTGACATCACATTTCACATCTTCTGAGTGACACTGGAAAGGCCCGGAGACTTTCGAGGAGGGTGGTGGCGTGATTTGGCCAGTGTGTTAAGAGAACAGGTTTGACTGCCATTTGGAAAAGACACAAAAATGGAGGGAAAGGGTAAAATAATCCAGCAAAAATGAAGCTTTCACAGAAGTGGCTCCAATGAGCATGCAGCGGACACTCTGGCTGTGGAGGGCCAAGTTTAGGCTTAGATGACCGACAGGTTCTGGACTATTCCCCAAAAGTCCAGTCATTGCTAATGGGATCCACTTTGTCTTGTTCTTCCATAATCCGCGTCTGTCATCTTTTCATAAGTTCATGTTCCACTGGCTCGTCTCCACACCAGATAAACATACCCCTGTACAGATTGGAACCGTCAAGGTCAGCTGGTGTGGCAAAACCTTACCCTACAGCACCCCAGTGTTGCTAATGTAATTCTTCACCTGCTGTGTGGAAATTAACCTAATCCCAGTTTCTTCTACTGTAAAATTCCAATAATGAAAAGACATGCTTCAAAATATTCCTGTGAAAAACATTATGACTGTGTAAAGTGCTTAGCATAGTTACCAAAGCCCTAGTTACCCAGTAAAGGACAGCCAGTATTCTGAAAAATGACATAAATGCCTAATATGACCAAGCTTACGTTAAGTTCTACTTGCCATCCATTTGATGAAGACCTCCTTGAGTTGAAGGACTTTTTTCCCCTTAATCCTCTTTTATGTAGTTATAGAAGAAAAAAGCATGTTGTTCATGAATTTTACTCCTGACAAGAACATACCCCAGGACAGAAGATTGTCAGTCACAACGTATTTAAGGAGTAAGTGCCAATATCTAGTAAAATATATCACAATGAGTCCGATAACACTACCCTTATAGATACCCTAACATATTCTATGGGTCGTGTGAATTTTTTTTTCAGTGAAAGAATTTTGACAAAAGTAATCCTTTAAAAATCAATGTACTACAAAATTATTTTAGTATTACATCTTTAAGGAAATATTTTGTTTTTACTTTCAGATTGTTAGTCTGTTTTCTGTTTTTAGAATTATTTGGTATATTATATATTATAGTGGGATTCATTATGACACATCTATACGTGTACATAATTCGATTCTTAAGCAGTCATGTTTACGGATAACGTGTCGAATTACCTAAATAATCAGGTGCTTCTTGCCAAACATAGTGGATACAGAAAAGCTCATGCCTAATGAGCTTAAGAACTTTTTCCTTTCCTGTAAATTATCTCTTCTATTTCACTGGATCAAAACAAAAGCTGCCCTTCATTATTTAATCTTGTTTTCTTATGAATATTAAGTTAGTTGATGCTTTGTAACATCCACCAACATCTGTAAGATATTAAAGGCTTATTTAAAGTTAATATGAAGGTTGAGGTGCTTAAGCTTTGGAGAACCGTGGAGCTTTTCAGGAGCATCTTTAACAATTCTCAAAGTGCCTCATCTGTCCCAATGTATGTGGGAAGCCTTGCTCCCTCTGTTTCGGGAGATACTCATTTGTTTCCACCCTCAAGAGTCCCTCAGCCTACCTGGCATGTGTTTAGAAGTGGCATCTGGTTACTGGACAAGAAACTTCCCTTGGGGCCTCAGCAAGCTGGGCAGGGCCAGCTGAGAAGCTGCAGTGAGGGTCACCAGCTGAGACTCGGGAAGTGCCTAAGGACATAAAGGCAGGTTTGCTGATGGCTGTCCAGAGGAGGGTGAAGGGGAGGCGCAGGAGCGCTCACAGGGCACACAGCTGGAGAGCACCCAGGAGAACGGATCCCGTGCTTAAGACCATTAAGACGGCATGCCAAGGGTCTAAGATGACTGACATACTGCTATGCCTCACAACTTCTAGGCAGTTTTTGGCCTAGAAATTTTGTTTTGAATTGTTAAGAATTTTATTTTTCTTCCAAAGATAGCAACTACTGTTGATATGATCCTGAGTAACAAAGTCTTTTTTTTTAAATCAATCATGAATGCACATTAAGTGCACAGCCTCATGGTCTTTCTTCCCCGTGGCATTTCCATACGTACCTATGTCATGCTTGGATCGTGTATTAAAAATTCATCAACCACAAGTAATACCTCAGCCTCAAAGTGGGAAAAAACGTAGAAGTAGCTCTCTGCTGTGTGTGGAAGGGCTGAGAGGATGGGACGGAGCCTGCGATAGAGCCGAGAGCTCACTGTGACCCTTGCTCTGCAGATTAGCATCCCGAGGCTGAGCGCAGGTGAAGCACACAAGCACCAATCCACCTTGTGTTTGAAGAACACTGTACTTTCCCCAAGTCATTTCTAATAGTTGTCTCAAATGAAGGGACTGGACACTTGAATAACTTGCCCAGTGCCACCATATGAACGAAGGAATATCTGGCCTAGAAACCAGACTCCTAACTGCCATCCCCAGTTCCTTGCAGTAGAGCTGTGGCTCCTGGGAGAAGACTTGCAGCAAGAACCACACACTTCAACGTCTGACACCCGACTCCTAAAGCAATGGTGTTTTGTAGTCTGAAAAGTCCCTCACGTATCACTTAGCCAGTGCATACTAAATAAGGACCTTTTAAAAAAAAAAGTCAAAGTATTTTTCCAGCCCCCGTGACGAGTGCCATTGGACTCCTGGGCCCTGGTGACTGTGGAAGTACATAAACCATATGAATTCAAGGCCTCCCTGCCATTTTCCAATGCTCACAATTTGGAAACTACCGATTTGGTCCAATCCTCTCATCTTACAGAGAGGAATCCATAACCCAGGGAAATTAAGTGAATCTCCAAGGACATAAAGCAAGTTGTTCAGAGAATGGAGCGTGCCATGCCTCCCTGCCGCTGCTCCTCTCCCCCTTTCAGGAACAATCTCTTTTCTGTTTCCCTCTTGGCGCACTGTGGCTGCAGCTATCACGAGAACTCCACTCCACTTTGAGAGTCCCTTGACTTCACAAGGCCATTTTCCACGCTGCCTCCACTTCGATCCAGCACGGGATCCAGTGATTTCTGTTCTCTGCTACACACTGATGGAGTGCCAACTGAGGAGATTTAAGAGAAATTCATTAAAAACAAGTACGGTAAATAATACTACTAGGAAACCCAAATTTGGGGTGCTTATCTTTGCCATCATTTAAATGGTTATTTTAAACTGTTGCAGTTAACTCCTTCCTTTCCTTTGTGCATTGGGGTAAGCCTTTTCATAAGACTTTGCAAAAGTGGAAATATAAAAAAATTTATAAATCACTCAAGTTCCCTGGACACTAGGAAAATTCTCAATTTGTTCTGCAATCTTTCATCTTAGATGAAGATAAACCAATGCCAAATCAACACTGAAATTTTCTCATACTGTAACTTGGATAGATGAAAAATACCAAATGTGTATTTTACTCAGTGACTATGTTTTAATAATTATTAAAAGATAATGACGTTGTATTTTGATCCTATTATTTTTATTTCAAAGCTTGCATCTCTAAATGGGATAAAATAGACATATCCCAAATGTTGGATACTCAGCTTTCACAGGTCTTGGGAGGAATTCAGCCAATAAGATCGATCTGGTGTCGTTTGCCTGTGGAAAGGGAATCCACCAGCACAACTTCTGATGGATGTTGAGAGACGTGGGGTACAGAAGCACCAGGTCTGAGCAGCACGGGGAGGAGCTTTGAGCTGGGCAAATTCCCAGGCTGCCCTGTTCTACAGCGGGTCACTTTCCTGGCACTATAGTTCTGTGGGCTTTAGCTGTACTCCAACTTCTCTGCAAGTAAAGCTCAGTAATAGATAATAGAGGTTGAAAGCAGCCTAGTTACTGAACAAAGTGATTAATTTTCTTTTCCAGGCCACGCTCCCTAGAGGAAAACTTCCCAGAGAATGGAATTGTTGCTCCAATGGCTGAAGGTTGCTGTCAGGAGATGAGTAAGGCAGGCAGGCATGTAGGAGCCCAAGAGGCTGCAAACAGCTCCAAACAGCAGGTATTGTGGCTCTGCTTCAAGTCAGATGACTACACATTATTGAAGCTCTTCTTTGTACATTTTTTATTTGTTCTAATGAGTTATACATTACAATATAACACATTTATGAATTTTGAGATAGATAAATGGGGTATAGTTTCTCATTTTTCTGATTGTACACGTTGTAGAATCACACTGGTCCTGCAGTCATGTATGTATATAAGAAAATAATGTCGGTTTCACTCTACTAGCCTTCTTTAATTATTCACTTTGCTGTAATTATTGTTTTTATCCGATTTCTTTCTGGGTGCACTATACTATTTTGTTCTTGCCCAACTCGTGCTTTTCAGGCCTGATCCTGTGAGTCTTATTTACCTAGTGTTTATAAAGGGTCATGTTGTACACGTTTAGTCGGCTTTTACATTGCTGTGAGCAAAAGACCAGGCCACGGAGGAGAGAGAGTTTATTTTGGCTCCTGGTTTCAGGTGTCTCAGTCCATAGACAGCAAACTCCATTGCTCTGGGCCCAAGATGGAACAAGACATCACAGTGGAAGGGCCTGGAGGAGGAGAGCAGCTCAGGATGTGGCCATCAGAAAGCACAGAAAGCACTTCACTCACAGGGACGATATAGAAACCCCAAGGGCACAGCCTCAGTCACTTACTTCCTTCACACCCGACCTGCCTGCAGTTACCATCCAGTTAATCCTGTGTGGATTAATCTACTGATTAGGTCACAACTCCCGTGATCTAATTACCTACCTCGGAACAGTCTTCATAGTCCTACCCTAGCATTTGGGAGACACCACAAACCACAGCATGTTTAACAGTACCTAATGCTATCTATACCTACATCCAAACCTAGAGGAAAACAAGAATAATTTTGTTTTCACCACCATCTGGTCATGTTTTTCTCAACACCAGAAACAACCTGAAGTTTATTTATGGATTGTTATGGGTGTTAGAAGCAGTTTTCCTAGGCAACAATAAACTTAGTGAACTTGCTACCGAAAGCTTGGTTCTAGTCCCCGATGCTAATCCGATAACAAGGACTCAGTTTTGAGAAGAGGCAAAAGGTTTATTGCTTTACTAGCAAAAGAGAAACACTGGAGACTCCTGTCCCAGAGGTTGTGATTCTGCCCATCAGTAGGAACAGGGGACTTCTAAACAGGCAATTCAAAGGCTGCATCCCAGAGTTCTCTGTTGGAGTTGTAATTCACTTGTTAATTGGGGACATAGTCATTTCTGAGATTTTCTGGAACCATCCCCAAGTCTGGATTGCTTCATTATCCTGGTGGATGTGTACTCGGGGACAGAAAAAAATCTGCCTGAAATATGCAAGGCAGATAAGCCTGTTTCCCGAGATTGGGAAGGAGCAGGGAGAGGGGAAAATAAATGTGTCCATATTTAAAATAAGTTGCAACAGCAGAGCAGCAAGGGCTGTATTCCAAGCATGCAGTGAACCTCTGATCCAGGTTCTGCACCTGACATCCATCTCTTCGTTTCACCTGGTTTATCTAGATGTAAGAATCTCCAGTGATCAGAGGACCACCTTCTGTGAACATTCACGAGCTCATGTGTTAAAAAAAAAAAAGGTTTTTGAATAATTTAAAGAAAATTCTAAGTTTAAATGAATTTCTGTTCAGTAGTCTAAAAATACTTTAAAAATCAAACTATTTTCAGACTTTGCCTTGGAAAAGTCAAAATCAATCTGATTTATAATCAATTATTTGCAGTGTTGTGCTTCTCTCGTATTCTATACAATGATCTTTGATGTTCTGGTAGCCCATTATCACGTGCCTGGGTGTACATTTATCATTTCCACTGTGTACCTTTTCAAACTGGGATCTCTGGAGGGAACGGATCCATAGCTGTTTTTAAGTAATTTCTTTCCTCCACATACTTTCTGCTTTCAAGGTGCATTTGCTGATGGTAAATTTTTGCTTCTATGATCCACTTGTATTTTTCTCCCTCTTCCTTCTGGGAAATGACTTGTAACCACTTGGCCAAGTACAATTAAGCCTGTCCACTGAATCATGTATTTCAAAAATTACATTTTCACAACCGTCGCACCTGGGGGAAACTCAAGGAGGAGGAGAACTCCCTGCAGAGCAGAAGTTTACTGAAGGCCAAAGGCTCACGAACAGATCGAGTGGGTCTGTGAAACTGAAGCCAGAACAATGCGGCCCAGAAATCCTGAAAACCCGATTGGGTGAGGGCTGCTACCCGTCTTTTGAGTGGCCCCTTTCCTGTCCCTTTTAGTCAACTCATGCCTGCTGCTCTGAACAACTCGTCAAAACCTGTCCTGATCACAGAAACTGGCCAAAAAGGACTCTCCCGACTGCCGCTGCTCCATGGGCGTCCCTGGCCTTCTAGAAGACCACTGGACATCAAGACGACTTGCCAGTCGAGGGAGGGGGCAGGGGAACACAGGGTGACAAGCTTCCCTGCACAGGAAGGTCCAGTCTGAGACTCCAGAGCAGCCTAGGAAGTCAGGCCGATGTGGGAGAAGGAAGCCTGTGGAGAGGGCTCTTTAGTTGCAGCCTCTGTTCTTCTTGCCTTGCAAAAACGACATTGCTGAAAACGGGCACTCACCTCCACCTAGCCTCTCCACCACTGTGCTGCGGCCAGGAGTCCACAGCCCAGGCCAACTTGCCCTTTGGCTAGAATGCTGGTGTCTACCATCCCATGGCGCGTGCATTCAGTCTGCATGACTTGCAGAGAACAGCCCGTGGCTGGACGCTAACGTTAAGTGGTGCCACCTTCGCAGCTTCTCCCTTCACTGACAGGCTGTATCAACCTCGAGGGGGACTTGGTAAGGTGGGGATTTGTTCATTACCTCTCCACCTACCTGCCCATCCACTCAACTGGGTCATGTAAAATTCAGTGTAAGGTATTTGACAATTATTTTTCTTGCAAGTGGTATAGGTATCAAAGAAAACCCTTTTCCCAAAGTGTTTTACTCAAGAAATAGGTAAATGTTTGCTTAAACAAGTGTACGGTTATCTTTAAGGAAGGTATACACGGAATCCTCAGTACTAAGTATACCTTGTGCATATCTGGGGGAAGTTACAGGAGAAAGTGTTTTAAAGCATACTTTTAAGTCAAAAATCTAAAACTCATCACATGTGAGCATGTGACAAAATTTATTTAATTCATTAATGAGAAAACCAACCAGTTTCTACTCTTTACTGCTTTGGAAATGAACAGTGCATCAGAGTAGGATTTCCCATCTGTATTTCAGAAAACATTAGAACAGACGGTAAAGCAAGCAGACACATCAGGAAACTGAGTTGAAGAGTAGATAAAACCTGAACTGGTGTTGAATAGAACATAACTAGTATATTTCTTTATACAACATTTGAATTTTTTTCTTATTTTCACCTCTGTCCTTCTCTTAAACTTCTTTTCTGTGAGGATCCACTTATTCTTTAATGCATTTGCTTTTGTTTCTAACTGATGTCCCGAGTAACCAAACACATTCAAGCACAGCTATCTTCAAACCAGGTGATACACAACCTCAAACCAATCTTCCAGTTATCCACTGGATTATTTTCCCAAAGCCTTTATGCTGTTTTCATTGAAATCTCAAAATAAAAGCTTTCTTCAGTTCAGTTTTTCCCTTCCTTCAGCCTTGGTATGCGGAGAGGAGATTCTCTTCCCTTCAGCTTTCTAAAAGGAAGCAGGGAACCTTCTCCATGGCCTCCCTTCTCCAATGCCTCAGAATCCACAGGTGGGTAGGATGGTTCCCTGCCACTACCTACGACCTTCACAATCTGATCTCCTGAACCGACATTCCTTCCTCTTTGCTATCATCATCTAATGTCTGGGTCATAAATGATCATGGACTCTTGACCTCCTCTTTCTGTCTGGGGAACCACCATCACTCTGGTGATTGCAACACTCAGCCCTGATTCAATTATCTCTTTTTTTTCCCTTTGAACTTATGCAGACCTATAAACCCTCTAGCACTTTTTCTTTCTTCAGTTTCTAGCTAGTCTGGATTCCAAGGGCTCTCATTCAGTGCATTTATTTCAATTGCTTCAGAACCTGTCTTACCCAAGTGTACGTACTGTTTCTAAACAAAAAACCCTCCAACTACCAAAAAATATTGTTGAATTCAGACACCAAGATTCTTTGAAAACTTTCTTTCTTGGTTTTTCCTTTCATCTTTGTCTTGTCATTGCTTTTCAAAATATGAACACAGCATCACAAATCGGTGAATGACGGGGTGAATACCTAGAAAGTCACGTGCAGAATTTAGTCCCTCAAGAGCAGCTAGAAGAAATGTAAGATGGACTGAAGTGTGAGACCAGTCAGGAAAGACGGACAACAGTTCAATCTTGGAACCAAAGGGATTGTGTTAGGCACACCACAAAAGCTTGTGAAGATTACTACAAACACTTCCATTTTGCCCAAAGCCAAAGACCAGCACTAACCCGGGTGGAGAAAGCCCACAGCTATTTGCAGGTGCCCGGCTTCAAGCTTGGTGCAGACTCCAAGGAATAACTGTATTCTCTCAGCCCCGCCAGAAGGAATCCTCAGTCAACTACCAACAGCGAAAGACAGAAGATCCCCCTGGGGGCAAGGAGCCTGTGGACAGCGAGAACCAAGACCACAAAGAGCCACCTGTGAGCAGCTCCTGGCGCAGGAAGCTCTCTCCATGAGCACAGCGGGCTGAGCCAGGAGAGGGTGGCTCCCTCCTGGCCAGACCCAGAGGCTTGACCGTCTGGCCCAGCCGCATGCTGTCCGCTCCTCAGTCAGGCCAGAGCTGCGTTACCTACTCAGTGTTCCACGGAAGGCCTGGTCCCCCACCAGGAAGCCAGCCTGTGCGCCCCACCACCAGGCTCCATCTGTGAGGCCGGGGAGACTGGGCTGGCCCAGGAGGAAGGTCCCCTTGGGAGCCTCAGGTTGCTGGCAGCAAGTCCATCAACCATGCAACTGGAAATCAAAGGAAATCACAGGACGGGACCAGCAGAGAACCCTGCTTACCTGATTGTCAGGTGAGACTGTAGCCGACCTG